TTGTAGTCCAGTGCTTATCTTACAGTGCCACATCAGGGATCCTTTGATGGCTTGTTGTTGTTGTTAAGTGCCATCGAATTGGTTCCGACCCATAGCGACCCTATACAGGGTTTCCGGGGTTGTAAATCTTTATGGGAGTAGAAAGCCTCATCTTTCTCCCGCGGAACAGCTGTTATATAATTACAATGCATCTTGCAGGGTGCCATGCTCTAGAAACCCATAGATTCCAGTATTTTTCTCCCATAAACAATCACTGAAAAAGGGTTAGATACATGCTTAAAGCATTCCCTAAATGAGAATAATAGATAGCTTATTCAACTAGTGTTTGCTAGTAGGCCTGTTATTGGCATGTATACAAAGACACTTAACCATGTTACAGCCTATCTTTTCTTTCCAGGGTTCCATTCCCTAGCTTACCAGGAAAGAATAATTCGCAGCCCAAAGATAACAATTTCCTTTTCACTCAGAGACTGAAAAAAATTTCCAAATACTGAGATCAAAATAAATTTCTGCTTTGAGACTATTGGTATAGGCACTGTTACTGTGCTCTTAAACACATTGTTATAAATATCCAGGCAGTGAAAAGATATTAGATCACACTGTGCATGTCTTAAGTTGACCTCAGTTTTCTTTTCCCAGGACTTTGCTTAGATTTGAGTGACACTTTAGTTACTGTGATCTCCCCTTGTCTTGAACAAGTGCAGAGGAGAGGTAGTAAATTACAGGAACGACAAGACCATGATGCCCAGTAGTGGTCACTAGAGGAGGAGTGAACTCTGAAAGAGAGATGAGAGTGCTGGTCTGCATCTTTGGAAAGGATAATAACTTTTCAAACACAAATTTGTGTTAGTAAAGTTGAATATTTTGGAAGACTTTTTGTCTAGATTCTCTTTGACCCTTAGAAAGGATATGAGTGAAGATAGTTTATTTAGGAAGTACATGAAATAAAGGTGGTTGTGGTGGTGTTCAGTGCTGTTAAGTTGGTTCCAACTCATAGCCACCCTGTATAGATTTTCTGAGGAGTGGTTTGAGGGTTTGAATCACTGACTTTTCTATTAGTAGTCCAGTACATATCCTAGAGTGTCATTAGGACATTAACTTTTGGAAATGGTTCAGAATTGCATCATCTTTGGTTCAGGATTGTTTCATTACACCAAATCCTGGTTCATTGATTGAGGCCCCATTGCAGGTGATAATTTCTCAGCATCTCCAGACTGCTATTTGTGAGAGCTGCAAGATTTTCAGCAGTCTCAGAGACAAAAAAAAATTACCTGGACACTGAGATGCAACTATTCATCTACTAGAGTTTCAATGACTATAGATGACTTAATGACAATACCTGCTACAGGTGGAGATGAATGGCGGGTATTCAGAAGCAATTCAAATGTCTATGCATAAAAAGAACCCATGTGTGGTGCTACAGAATAAGCTTTGGACTACTAACCACAAGACTACCAGTTCAAAGCCACCAGCCACTCTCAGAAACACTATACAGGATCACCATGAATTGGAACCTACTCGATGCACACAACAACAGCATGCATCCAAAGGGATTAATCTGGGCTTGCAGTTTTCAGAGAATTAAAGAAAGAAATTAAAAACGAATTCTACATACATATGACTATACAGATGCATACACAAGCCCTGGTGGTGCTGTCCAATGAGCACTGGATGGCCAGTAGTTCAAACCCACGTGTGGTTCCTCAGGATAGAGATGAGGGTGTCTGCTTTGGTAGATTTACAATCTTGGAAACACTAGATAGGGTTCCTGTGAGCCAGAATTAACTTTATAGCTGTGAGGTTTGATTTTTTTTGTTGTTGTTCCCCGGGGCACACAAATACAATGATAAATCAGAAAGTACTGCTATAAATTATAGAAATCTTTAGTAAACAAAAATCTTAATACGTGAAGCTGTTTTTTTCTTAAGAGAGCCTCTGTTAAGTCTTCACATTTCTAAAGGTGATATTTCCATCTCTCTAACCCTTCCACTGGTGTGGCACTGTGGGTTAATGCGCCAGACTACAAAGCCGTTTGAACTGTAGGACCAGCGGTTCAAGCTCACCAGTCGCTCCTTGGAAACCCTCTACAGAGTCCCTATGAGTCGGAACTGACTCGATGGCACTTAACAACAACAAAAACAACAACAACTCTTTCACAAAGAATTTTGTGCTCTTCCATTTACATCAAAAGCAGTTTGGACATCTTAAAACCAAACCCAAACCTATTGCCATCAAGTTGATTTAGACTTTATAAGACAGAGTAACACTATCCCATATGATCTCTGTGCCTATCAATCTTCCTAGGAACAGACAGCTTCATCTTTCTCCTGATAATGGAGAGTAGTTTTGAACTGCCAATCTTTCTGTTAATAGCCCAAAAATTAAGCCACTGTGCCACCAGGGCTCCTTTTTGGTATCCTGGTGAAAGTGGTGGTAGTGTGCCAGGAAATCGGTTCTAACTTATAGTGACCCTGCATAGGGTTTCTGAGGCTGTAAATCTTTACAGGAGCAGAAAGTCTCATTTTTCTCCTGTGGAGCTGCTGGTAGTTTTAAACTCTTGGCCTGGAGGTTAGCAGCCCAACTTGTAACCACTATACTATCAGAGCTCCTTTTTGGTATCCTAGAGGAACACGAATCACGCTTCTTTTAAATGTTTTTGAGTTTGGGAAAGAAAAAGAAGTCTGAAGGGGAAAGACAAGCACTGTATTGTAAATGTGTGATGGTGGTGGTTATAGGCTATGGAGTCGGTTTCAACTCATAGTGACTCTGTACAGGGTTTCTGAGGCTGTAAATCTTTACAGGAACAGAAAGCTTCATCTTTCTCCAGCAGACCAGCTGGTAGTTTCAAACTGCTGACCTTGAGGGTGGATGGGTAAGGTTTCCTAATAAAAGTCTCACAGGATATTCCTTGCTAGTCTCCAAGAATGAATAGACACATTACTTTTATGTAAAAAAAAAACCCCAAAAAACTCCTCAGTGCAACTTTCCTAGTCTTTTTCTCACCAACGCTGTTTTAAATTTTCTTAAAACATCTTCATAATAAGTCTATGTGGTTCCCTGTGCTGTTTGAGATTTTTAAAGATGATCTTTTTGGAATCATATATATATATAAACAGTTGTCATAACCTTCTGAGCTGATCTCCCTGCCTTGAATTTAACTGGCCAACAGATTATCTCAGAAGCAGCTGTTTTGATTAGGGCTTTTTTTGGAAAGCACCCTAAGGAGCTTGTATGAGTGAGAGACCTTGTCTGTAACCACCCATCAATTACAGAGACTTGTTCAAAGATGTTTTGCTTAGAATAAACCCATGCATCCATGCGGTCCAGTGTTTTATCCCACAATGTCACACCAAGAGTGGACCGCAAGATTGGTTTGAACCACAGGTTGGTGGTTCAAACTCATCGGTCATTCCTTGGAAACTCAATGCAGGTTACATGTGTATAGATTCATGTATATATTCATAACTGAACCTAGAATTATTTAGTTGGATATGTCTTTGCTAACTTTTTCTTCTGAGTCAATGAACTAAAATGAAAAAGACTAGAATGAATAATTTAAATCTGACCACCCCTTCTTTAACACACTCAGAGACTTTTCAAAGAATCAGCTTACATGCACACCCTCAAAAAGAGAATAATGAAGTACTTAATAATGACTATTAGGAAAAGGACTTTTAAAAATTGATCTTCAATGCACATGTAAATGGTTATTTTCTGTACAGCTCTTTCATTTCCTCATTTCTTCCTTTTATTTTAGTTTCTCTACGTTGGAGAGCAAGATTCAGTCCTGTATGATATTCTTGATGTCGTCCCACAACTCTTCTGGTCTTCAGTCATTAGTGTCTAATGCATCAAATATATTCTTGAGATGATCTCTAAATTCAGATATGATATGTTCAAGATCATATTTTGGCCCTTGTGTAGTTGTTTCAATTTTCTTCAGCTTCAACCTGAACTTGCAAATGAGCAATTGATGATCTGTTTCAGAGTCATCAATTTTGACTGATGATAACGGATTTTACCAAAGTCTCTTTTCATAAATGTAGTCAATTTGATTTCTGTGTATTCCCTCTGGCGAATTTCATGTATATAATCTTCTTTTATGTAATTTTTAAATGAAGTATTTTCATAGAATTATTGATCTTACAAAATTCTGTCATTCAATTTGTTATTATCAGACAAACTTCTGTCATTAGCATCATTTCTAACACCTAGATCGTATTTTCCAACTACTCATTCTTCCTCTTTGTTTCCAACCTTTAAATTCCAGTCATCAGTAACAATGAATATATCTCCATTGCATGTTTGATCGATTTTAGACTGAAGAAGTTTGCAGAATTCTTCAATTTCATAATCACTGACTTTAGTGGTTCATTCAAAAATATGAATAATAGTGGTATTAACTCTTCTTCCTTGTAGCTGTTTGGATATTATCCTATCACAGAGAAAAATTATACTTGAAGATAGATCTTGAAATGTTGTTTTTCATGATGAATGTGATTCAAATCCTCTTCATTTTGTCATTCCTGGCATTGTGAACTGTATGATTGTCAGATTCAAAATGGCCAGTATCAGTCCATTTCATCTCACTAATGCCTACAATATCAGTCTTTATATGTTCCATTTAATTTTTGACAACCTCTAATTTTCCTAGATTCATACTTCATACATTCCATGTCCTGATTATTAATGAATGTTTGTGGCTGTTTCTCCTTATTTTGAGTTGTGTTCCATTAGCATCATCATGGTCAACTCTGCTTGAGGAAGCAGCTCTTCCCCAATCACATTTTGAGTGTCTTCCAGCCTGAAGGACTCATTTTCTGACACTATATCTGACAATATTTTGGTACTATTGAAAATGTTTTCCTCTTCTGACATTATGTCTGATACTGTTCCATTGCTATTCAAAACGTTTTCTGTGGTTGAACATCCAGAAGTAGTTCGCTTCTCCTTCTTACTAATCTGTATTAGTCAGGAAGCTCAGCTAAAACCTGTGAAACATGGATCACTCTTGTCATGTTGAAAATACTGGTGGCATAGCTTCCAGCGTCACAGCAACATGCAATGTGACAAATTCTCAGGTGAGTGGTGCAACCACAGACAAAGAGATTAAGCTTAGCAAGACATCACAAAATGAGGACTATGGCTATAAAGACAATATCAAGTAATTCACTGCACCACACATCCCAAAAGAAAACTCAAAAGCAAATATCTAAGTTTATATTTTGTTAAACTATATTTAGAACAAGCAATATGTGAGCAAAATTAGGCAATCTTCTGCTATGTCTGCATTGTACAACACTAAAACCTTGAGAGGATAGACTTCAAATCAAACAAATGATAGATTACAAATGTCATTTCTCTCAACTTTGCTTTGCATTACTGCTAGATGAAAGAATTTACTTGTTCATATTCTTCAGAAAAAATATTTTTTTTGTAGTTGAATAAAAATAACTATATACTCACAATGGACACAAATTTAAAAAGTTTTGACTTCATAAAAATAGAGAACTCAATCCACAGTTCTTGTTTTTGTTTGTTTGTTTATTTTTTTAATGAAAAGCCCATCTTAAAAATGATAAATCTATCTTATCTATCTATGACAATATTAAACAAAAAAACAGTTGTCTTCAAGTTGCATCCAACTCATGGTGCCCCACATGGGTCAGAGTGGAACTACTGCATAGGGCTCAGGCTTTGGAAGTTGGTTGGTAGACCTTTCTTCCAAGACAGCTCTGGATGGATGTGAACCTCCAGCCTTTTTATTAGCAGTCAATTTTGATAACTGTTTGTACCACTGAGAGACTTCAAAGGAATATTAAAGTGCTAAAATAAGCAAGCAAGAAAGCTAATAAACCAACAAAAATGTGCAAAACTTATTTTGGACTGTGTTTTTATAATGGGATAAGTGGTAGGTTGTATTTACAGATTCTATATCCTAGATTGGGGAGAACAGTGACTCTGTACAAAACTCACTGATGTGTGAATCACAAGGTTAGCACTTCTAGCCCACTAGACATTTCATGGGAGAAAATGAGGCTTTCTGGCTCTGGAAAGATTTACAGACCCAGAAACCCTCTTCAGTGTCCCTATGAGTCATACCTAACTTGACAGCAGTTAAAAACAACAAAATAAATCATAGATTCAAGCTCTTTGTACCAAGACTTCCTGTCTACCTATCTAACCCTCATTCAAAATTTCCACGAGGACAAAAAAGTATTAGTTGATATATCAGAATACTATCTGAATGGAATAACAAAATAAACAATTTATAGTAATTAACATCTCAGTAAAAATAAGGTTTATTAGAAGAGCTGCAATCATGTTCAAAGACCTCATGGCATTGGAACATTGGAGAGTAAGATGTTGAAATAGTCCAAAGCTAACCTGAGTGAGACACTGAAGTATGTGGGTTTAGACCAGGTGAGAAAGTTTTAGAGCACAGGTATCTATGTATGAGTGCATGTAGGGATTGTGTGTACATATAAAATAAATGGAAAAATAAACTAATTATATCTTTTTGATCTTTAGGAGTGTGTGTATGTATGTTTGGGCATGAACATATAACCGCAACTGTAATATACTCTTGTCTACCTTTTGTCTACATTTACCTGTCCTGGCAGATTTAATGAGGCAGGGATGAGAAACACAGAAATGAGAGGTGGTAAGATCAACAACTCTGTGCAAAAGAAAAGAAGATACAAATCTACATAAAATCTACAGACACAAAATATTGGACTTGATTCAAAACATGAAGGGGCTTAAAAAAGTTTGTGGAAAAATGGAACTATAAGATAATGAAATCTTTCCACTAACTTTTGGAAGTCTCCTCAGATATTGCATGTGCAGAAGAGCTGCAATCATGTTCAAAGACCTCATGGCACTGGAACATTGGAGAGTAAGATGTTGGAATAGTTCAAAGCAAACCTGGGTGGGACACTGAAGTATGTGGGTTTAGACCAAGACTGCCTGGGTTGTAAATTTAAGTGAGTATGGACAAGTTACTTATCTTTACTGGAACTCTGATTTCTCATCTATAAAGAAGAGTTATAGTAAATCCCTTATTAAGCCATTTTTATAAATATAACTTGACATGTGAAATGAATCAATATATATGTAAAATGCTTTAAATTGTATTTGGCATACAGTGAATATTTTTTAGAAATAAAAGAAATTATGTGTAGAATTTTTGTTACACTAAATAGGAAGTCCTGGTATGACACTATGTGACAAGCACTGGACCAAAATGTCTGAACCAAACAGCCAGTGGTTCAATCCACTAATTGCTCCTTGGAAATGCAAACAGGGTCTCCATGAGTCAGAAGTGACTCAATAGCACTTAACAACAATAACAAATAGATTTACCTTTTTCCCATTAAAAAAATATATTTTCCAAATATGTTTTTTAGATGACTTTGATGTTCAAACATTAAAAAAAAAAAAGACGTCCTCTCATCTTCTTTAGTGATAATCATAGGGTTCACATTACAGAAGAACTGTGAGAATTTCCTTTTCATGACGTCTTTAACATCTTAGAACCTGGTAATTTTACTGCTCATGCTACACAAATGATTCATGAGCATCATTTAAATATGCACTTTAAAAAAAGTTCCTTCATTTACAATTTTAGGATTCCATAGCCTCTAGTTCAACTCTGTTACTCTGTGATCCAGTATTACTCTTCTCTGGAAAGTACTCATGGTGTGTTTCTGCATGAACGTTGGAATAATTTTTCTCATGAGCACCCCCCAAGATGTGATATATATCTACAGACAGATAGAAAAAATAGATGATAGATAGATAGATAGATAGATAGATAGATAGATAGAGAAATGATGGATGGATGAATGGATGGATGGATGGATGGATGGATGGATGGATGGATGGATAGATGGATGGATAAGTAGGTAGGTAGGTAGATAGATAGATAGATAGATAGATGATGGATGAATGAATGGATGGATGGATGGATGGATAAGTAGGTAGGTATATAGATAGATAAATAGATAGATGATAGATAGATAGATAGATAGATAGATAGATAGATAGATGATAGATGATGGATGGATGGATAAGTAGATAGATAGATAGACAGATAGATAGATAGATAGATAGATAGATAGATAGATAGATAGATAGATAGTTTCCTGATGGATTCGCACAGTAGCTGAAACAACAGCTCAAACACAACAATTGTGCAGATGGTAGAGGACCAGGCAGTGTTTGGCTGTGTCATACACAGGATTACTATGAGATGATGCTGACTTGATGGCACCTAACAACACAACATGTATCTCCAGGAAAGGTATCTCATGAACATGGCTAGTATGAGGCAGAGCTCTAAGGAAAATAAGCATCATTAGCAGTGAACATTTTGCCATGAGTCTGTACTTCCCTTAGTGATTTTAATTTTATGATTGTAAATTCTCTAATCTAGACAACATTCTGTGATGCTTCTCTACCAGGTTTAAAGAGTGGTGTTGTAATATCCAAAGATCACCCAGATTTAGAATTTGACTCATTATATTGCTAATTAAACTGTTTATTTAATTATATACTGTTCATTAAAACAATAGAGTGCTGTAGGATAAGCACTCAATTGCTAGGTCTGTTTGAACTGAAAGGTCGGCAGTTCAAACTCACCAGCCACTCCTCAGAAAACCTATACAGGGTCACTATGACTGGGAACCAACTTGATGGCATTTAACAATAGCAACAACAACATCATCACAACAGTCTTCATGAGTGTGCTAATATAACGGCAGGACCACCTAAAATTGATTTGTTGGAGGGAAAAAGTCTATAAACAAATAATTTTGGGTATATAAAATGTAATACCCCTCAATAATGGTTGCTCAACAGTTCGAAACTACCAGCTGTTCCGCGGGAGAAAGATGAGGCTTTCTGCTCCCGTAAAGATTTGTTGTTGTTGTTAAGTGCCATCGAGTCGGGTCCGACCCATAGCGACCCTGT